GTTAGAAGAGGTTTCCAGCAGCAAATCCTGCAGGACTGCACCAGCTAAAAATTCACATTCTTTGGGTACATATATGCCAGTAAAGTACAATTCAGGAATCCTGTCTGGAAATGGCTAATCTCCTTATTGGTGCTTGTGAAAGCAAAAACACACATCTGGATGGTTTATTACTGTCAAAATTTTGTAAGGAAAAAGACTCCTGTCTGCTTTTGTTTAGGGTGAAAGCTTAGGTTATCTAGAGAGCTGACAGGATACCAAAGTAATTTTATTTTGGTACTTAAAAAACAATAAATCAACATARGGGCATATGTTGTCATTTCTGCATATTTTCCTAACATGACTAATAGGTGTTTTATGTAAGCTGGACTTCAGCTGATTGCCATTTATTCACACCCAGCCTTGGTAAGAAGCAGACTGATGAACTTATTCCATAAAATGAAAATAAGAAAAACAGAAAATAAGAAAACCAAATTGCCATCCAATCTAGAGATGAAGATGAGTCTGTCTGCAGGATTTACATATGAATCCTTTGAAGGAAGAGTGTGGTGATGCTCATGGGTATGGCTTTTGACTGCCGTTGTGCTGACTGGCAAGAGAAAAGAAAAGGAGGTCTTGGTCCATCAGCAGGCRTCTCTTATCTCATGTGTTGGTAATCTTTGAGGAAGAAAGGTGACTGTGTTACAAGCCTTGGCACGGATAGTTAAAAWTTTTAAAAGATTGAGAGTCAGTGTAATAAAAGGATGTAGGTGTAGATCAGAACAGTAACATGAAGTTAATCCCGCAGAAAATTTAATGTGGCATAATATGTAGTTCAGTGCACCCTAGCAAGGCCCTCTCTTAAAAAAATGTATTTGCATGTTTAGTCTGAGTGATAAAGCCACTCAACTTCACTGTGTTTTTGTGCATAACATGTGCAAGAGAAARCAGCACTTACTGCATGTGAGACATAACCTACATTACTTATTAATTTGCACTAGATTCAGGTCTTTCCTTGATGTACTGCTGCTTACATCAGAAACTGTCTTTTGCAAAAAAGTAATGGGTCAGTCCTTGAACAAAAGTAATTCAATACATCAAAATAAAGGGGAGGACAGAGATGATGAGCGATTTACCATTATGCTGTGCTGTTCAATAGTGTTGGGAAAAGGAGGCAGCTGAGCGGGGAAGGGCCAAAACCACCTTGCTAATGTGAATCCGTTATTTATCTGTTGACAATAGTTAAAGYTGGTGAGTGTGGTCAGGGAACACATAACAGTAGGGTTAAGAAAGGCTAGAGATGCTGCCACCCACCTCCACTGGCTTCAAAGTAAAGGTATTGAATGAAAGCATACCTSTGGGAAACAAGTTAGACCAGTAGTTGAGTAGTTTTGTGGGTTTGCATTTCAGGAAGATGGAGCATCTCTCTTATGAAGACAGGCTGGAAGGGTTGAAGTTGTTTCATCTGAAGAAGAGAAGGCTCTGGAGGGACCTTACAACACCCTTCCGGTACCCAAAYAGGGCTGCAAGAGAGCTGGAGAGGAACTTTTCACAAAAATGAAAAGGATAAGGGACAATATTCAGTTTTTAATAGTTTAAACTGAAAGAGAGTAGATTTAGATTGGACATAAGGGAGAAATTATTTATGGTGAGAGTCATGAGACACTGGCACAGATTGTTCAGAGAMGTTGTGGATGCTTTATCCCTGGAATTGTCCAAAGGTGGGTTGAATGGTGCTTTGGGCAGCCTGGTGTAGTGGAAAGTGTACCTGCCCCTGGTAGGGTATTGGAACTACATGATTTTWAAGGTCCCTTCTAACCCAAACCAGTCTGTGGTTCTGTGGGAAAGACACCGTATTATACCCTGCCCTTGAGATAAAAGCTATTAAAGTACTTCAGTGCAGGCTGAAGAAATCCAGGTTATTTTTTAGTCAAATGTTCAGTAGGAAACAAGATACATGCTTTGAGAACTTATTTATTTGAGAAATTGCCTTTTGGCAGAATTTGTAGGAGTAAAAATAGGACACTGAAAAGGCAGCACTGCTGCTGATTTCCACATAATTCTTTTCATTGCCTTTGAAGAGTGCACTGGGTTCATTCCTCAGCTGGCCTTCTGTCTTTGATAAAGTTAGTAATTGTGCTGATTAACACCAGAAGTACATCTGTGGAAAGTTTCACAGATATCCCTGTTACATTTCATATAGGCAACACCATGAAAATAATTACTCTTGTGATTGTTTATCATGGCTTTTGTGCTGAACATTATCTTTAAGTATCATAAAGTTCTTTACAAATACTGTCTTCCATTGAGAACATTTCAGACAGAAACAGGRTTTTCCATCATATTATAAAGGAGGGAGTTGACTACACTTTGTTCTTTCCTTTTTCCTGAACAAGTAGCTGGAGATATAGCTTCCTCAGGATTTATTTTATCCCATACTTCCTTGTGCTTAATATAGCTGCAAAAATCTCTGGCCTTAATGGAAATATGAATGACTCTGCTCCAGTACAGGAAAATTATCCCAAATCACAACTGTTAGATAAAGGTCACTGAGGAAAAGGAAATGGGTCCTTCACTTACATTTTAAAATTGGTTAACAATTAGTATGTCTTACCATTTTGGCCACTAGGATGGATTTCAGGATTTTTAGAAAACCTGCTTTGTAAAGCAAGAAAAGAAGTATTGTAAAGTCCTTGGTATATTTAAAGAGTTTTCTGACTCATTATTTGAAATTCCCCTTCTTTGGGAGCTTAACATTGGTCTTGGTGGCTTCATTCACTGTAGAGAGTTTGCAGCACTGATAATTTTGTCGCTATAAGTTTGCAACCTTACYTCTGAAATACTGTATGTCAGGCAGCATTAAGGAAGTACCAGGAACTCTGTTTACTTCAATGGATACACATTAGAACGTTGGTGAACTCATTAGTGTGTTTAGGGGCACAGACGAGTGTGACAGAGCAGCCACATTATTTCATCCTCCTCTGTGTCCTTTCTTTTTATTGGSGTGTCCCAGTATCTTTCACTGCTACATTCAGATGTGATGGGGTTTATTTTCTTATGGTTCTTGCTTAGATGTATAAGGGCATGGAAATATCTGATTAAGGAGAACAAGCAGGACTACTGAGAAGGTGGGGCTTGATAAGGAAAGATGCATATTGAATAGATTGCTGCTAAAATGTTAACTTCCTTCTTTGTATATGTAAATCTGGAGAGCACACAGCTATTCTGCCATGTATGCTCTGTGTGTGTGTTTGTGTACACATGCTGCCTTAGGAAGTGCCTGTCAAGCTGCATTATGCTCCATTATTGTAATGTACATCTTTGTAATCCTGTCCTCCTCCTTTCTCTCCCTACCTCCACACAGAAAAGGAAAACCTTATGTAAAACTGTCATAATAAAGAAAATTCTTACTGTAATGTTAGCTCTAGAGGTATTACTTCAAATAATAAATGCATCCTCTGTGGGTTTAATTACTGTTTTATAGTAGTTATTCTGCTTTAATTWGTTTCATATAACAGTCCCAGGTAAATATTATTAGTGACTTTTTTCCAAATATATGTGCGGCTACAGAGAAAGGCAGTTGTAATTTTTTTGCCTTCATATTTATTAGACTTTCTATCTTCTTCATCATTATGACATTTTGATAATATCCAGGCTAACTGTAATAGTTTGTCCTGAGTGTGGAAAGATTAAAAATATGTGCAATAAAGATTTAATTATAGTTGAGGATTTTTATTTAAAGCTTTAAATAAAGAAAGTTRTCTTGCATTTCTCCCCTCCATTTCTGCTCATGCTTCTCTTTATTTTCACATTTTTTTTAAAAGATACCTGATTTGCATGACAGCTCTTGATGCATGACCAGATGTCTGTATGGTCACAAAGGTTGTGTTGATCAGTTATAAAGGTTATTACTCTTTTAGCTGGCTTTTTAGGAAAGCCCTGCACAACTCCGTGGTGCCAATAGCACTGACATTGTGGGTTTGATCCTATGGGTGATTCACTTCAGAACTGTACTTGATGATCCTTGTGGGTCCCTTCCAACCCAGAATATTCTGTGACATAGCAGCCTGCACCTGGGAAACACCACAAGTACTCTCAGGCTTGGGAGTCTTCCTCTGAACAGATAGAAATGGTCCAAATTAGGAGCAGAGGTAAAAAAGGAGCAGCTCTAAAAGTCTGCATTATCTAGGCACTGCCTGATTAAGCRGCATCTAAACTAAAATCTGCCTTTAGATAATTCCAGCTATTTCTTTTTGATCATTGAATTCTGTATTTTTTCTGTATATTTAATTTTCTGGTGTTTAATAGGCTTGAAAGAAGCATTGGTATTTAGTATAATGCACCCAGTGAGTTTGTATAGTTCCCCTGAAAACCATACTAATAGGAAAAGCTGTGATTGTTATTTCTCTATTTAGTGATAGAATTACTTTTTTTTTTTTTACAAAAAAGCTCTTCGGAGAATCTAAGGTATAAGCCATAATAAATCATATAAAGCTCTTTGTAATTTTTAATAAAAACAGTTTAGTTCTAGTTTCTTCTTTGTGCTTCCAATTAGCTATTGTAGTCTGTGTACCAAAATTACCCTGTTACTGAAATTAGAAGATGTTTAATGTATTCTTCATTGATAAGCAGCAGGCCTAGCTAGGTGAAGAGCACTTACGAGTTCTTCATATTTAGACTGATTTGTCTGGTTTATTTTCAACACTTCAGWAGTTAAAGAATTAAATACTGTCTCCTCTTACATAAAACTGTTARCCTCTGAACTTTTAGTTCCAGTAAATACTTCTTATTTTTTTTTATTGCAGGGTAAAGCTGCCCTCTGAGTTATAAAATTTAACACATAACAAATCCTGGCACTACTTTAGGTATGGCTAGACACTACTTTAGGTGTTCTTTTTGCCATTTTTATGCCTGTAGCTAATGTATTGCTATGGAAATGTTTTGGTTTATATTTTTGTTTCACGTATTAGCTGATTTAGGCTTTATTGTGCCAAATCAGTTATTGTTTGTTGGTTTTTTTGTAGGTCATTGGAATTTTGGATGTGTTCACACCAGATCTAACACTGGAGAAGTTTAATGACTTGTAAGTCCCATGTTGCTTGTGTTTTGGAGCAGGACATTGTTGCTTGTGTGGGAGGAAAGGTGATTGTTTTTTAAATAGAAAACTTCACAGTTGTTGCTTCATGGACTTTTTGTTGAGTTTCACCTTAATATAACTCTTGTGTGCATCTATGGTAGGCTGGGGTTTTCAGATTATCAGTAGAACCAGTTTCCTGTCTTACAAGGTGTGTACTTCTTTCTGCCCTTAGTAAATGGCAGTTTGGTGAATTCCCTAATCCACCTTTCAAGTATTGATTTCTTATCCTAAGGCCCAGGTTACTCAAATGGTAGAACAATCCTTAACCCAATCAGGTAGGCTGAAAGTTATCCCTACTACATGGTACATCTCAGTGGGATCCCTCCTAATTCAAGGATCAATTAAAAACTGCTGATGCTGCTGAATTTGTTAGTGTTTATCTGCACTGTGGTCTGTTGTGCCCTATGACTGTTTTCCCAGTCAGTGGTCCAAACAATACCTCATACAGGCTGTTTCTACCACATCTCACTAATCTTTTGGTGGCATCTCAGATATGTTTAATGTATCTGCTGTTTATTTGTTTTACTTTACTGCTGCAAATTTTGTGAATTTGAGATGCTAGAGAAGTAGTGCTCAGAAATCCTTCTGGGCTAATGTAGATTTCCTGTGTTAGTAGAACTGTTCTGGATTTCATCTAGTGTAGCTGTGTTTCCTAAAAAACCTTGTATATTTATTTGTTAACAAAGAAAGGTATCTGACAGAAAAAATGTAGGAAATGAAGTACAGAAAACATGGAGCATGTGTTCATGTTGATCATTGAGCCAAAAGGAATGTTGTCCATATTGCCTATTGTGCCAGCATTTTATACAGCATGTGTAATAGAATGCATATGTATCTGATGAGAATTGAGTACTGTGTTTTAAATGAGAYCCTAGAATGGTGCTCCAGATTTTGCCAGTTCAATGAGGTGGTCATGACTGTGAGATACATTGCCTTGCATGAATGTCTTTGTTTTCTGTATAGCTGTCTTTGAAATAGCACAAGGCTTTTGGTTAGTTTCTTTCTAAGCTCATTCTGATAACTACCAAGTTTCCATAATCAGTGACAGAACTGGGCAATAYATCTTTATGATAATCAGATAAAAACAGACAGGCTTGGAAGGTTGGATGATGATGAAGGAATTGTTTGGTAAATTGAATGATCTAAAATTAATTGAATAATCTGTAATTTAAATTGTAACTGAACCATAACATCAAATTATGTTTAAATTTATGTGACAAAGTTAATCAAGTTAATCTGTTCGGTTTGCTTTCTTTTTTTTTTTGTTTTGTTTTGTTTTAAGCTACCTCGTCATGCCATTTATGGGAACAGACTTGAGTAAGATAATGAAGCATGAGAAACTAACTGAAGATCGAATCCAGTTCCTGGTATATCAGATGTTGAAAGGCTTAAAGGTTTGCCAGTCCTAGTATTATTTTGATTTCACAGTCATTTTTTTTAATAAACTGTTATGGAGAACTATAAACACTTATAATTTAATAGRAGGATAAAATTTATCTTGCTTGTATACTAAAAGAATGTATATTAAATATAAACCACTATATTAATTTATTATATAAAGTATGTTTTTACAGCTAAACAATACCGACTCTTAGTGTCTTGTCTGACATTAGATGCTCCAGTTCCATGATCATTGTCATGGAGCTTCAGTGTCCTCTCTTTAACTGGAAAGCCCATAGCTGAGCACAGYACTCCAGGTGTGTCTCACCAGAGCTGACAAAAGGGAAAAATCACCTTTTTCAAGTTGTTGGCAATTCTCTGCCTAATGCACGAGGCTTTTGATTGTCAGTGGTGCAAAGGCACTGGTCCTTTTCTGCAAAGGTGGTCAATTACCAGCCTTGTATTGTGTATGGGGTTATTCCCTCCCAGGATTTTGTTKAGCTTTGGTGGGTTCCTGTCAGCCCATTTCCTCAGCCTATGGAGGTGTCACTAAACAGCAACACATTCATCTGGTGTGTGTACATTATTCTCAATTCTGCATCATTTGCTGGGTTGCTGAGGAASCCCTCTGTCCCATCATCCAGGTCAGTAATGAAGATGTAAAACAGGACTGACTTCAGTACTAACTCTAAGGGGGACACTGCTGTTGATGGGCTTCCAGCTGAACTTCCTGCCACTGATCACAACCCTTTGATCAAGACAGTTCAGTCAACTTTGATCCAGGCAGTTCAGTCACTGTACAATAATCTAACTCCTACTTCCACTGTATCTCAGGGTGTTACAAGACAGTTTCAAAAGCATTGCTAGAGTCAAGAGAAACAACATCTGCGCYCCTCTCATCCACCAAGCCAGTTGTTCTATCATAGAAGGCTAACAGGCTTGATTTTTGCAGGCATGATTTTCTCTTATAAATCCGTGTTGACTATTGCCAATCAGTTCTTTGTCCTTGTAATATTTGGAAATGGTTTTCAGAATTACTTGCTTATTACATTCCCAGAGMGTGAGGTGCAGTTGACTCTCCTTCCTTGATCCTCTTCTTCCTTACCCTTTTGAAGACATGAGCACTATGCAATATGCAATATGAGCATATGAGCAGTAACCAATATGTGCTTTTTTATAATATGATAAGGAACATTTCCAGATCTCCATGACCTCTCACATACTATTAAGTACTACACAGAGGCCACACAATGACATTGGCCAATTTCCCTTAGAATTTGTCAGTGCATCCCATCAAGGTATTTGTTTAAATGTAAAATTTGTGTTGGTTTAGATGTTCCCTATGTGATCCTCCTCGACTGAGGGTTAAGTCTTCCATAAAGTCCCAGACTTTTCCAGCAGTTTCAGGTGCTTATGGTATGGCAAATATTACCAGTAAAGATGGATGAAAAGAAGGCATTGAGTRTCTTGGCTTTTTCATGCTCCTGGTGCAGTTGCCTGTGTTTTCCCTAATTTTGTTTTTGCTTCCAGTTTGTATATAGAAGCCTTTCATGTTGACCTTTGTGTCTCTTACCAGTTTCAGGACCAAGGGGGCTTTGCCTTTTTAAATTCCATCTCTGCACACTTGGGCAATGTCTCCACTTTCCTGAAAGGTGACCTGACTCTGCTTCCACCTCTTATATACTTTTTTATGTTTTGGTTTCCCTAGGAGTTCTTGCCTCCTGACACCTTTGCTTGATCTTCACTTCTAGGGTCTGTTTTTGTTATGTGCTGATGTTTTACACTGTGAAATTAGGAAAGGATTTATAAAAGACTATAAGGAACCGTGCAGATTTGTCTGTGTTTGAACTCTGTAGGAAAGCTTCATCTTGTAGCTCTTCTGATAAATCTTGGGAAGAATAAAGATTTCAATGTATCGCTTTCTTAAATACAAAGTATAACAAAATGTAATTTGTAAGTTAGTTGTTTTTTTTTTCTTTTCAGATAGTAAGCTTGACTGTTAATCCTCCATTCTTTCTCAGAAATAATGTTTATATTCATCTCTCTTTTATCTCTCAGATATTGTCCATTTGTGGAYGTTTGACCCTACCCTGCATTTTGTATTCTTATTTTAGTAGATTTTTGYTCACATAGCCTTTTACATATGCTAYATAGTTATCCTTTRTATWCTATAGTTGTGCATTTAAGTGCTTTAATTCCCATTTTACAAATGCAGAAACTAAAGTCAGGAAAACTAAAGCTAGGTTTGGGGAAATTTGTTTTATTKAAACTGAAGGGAATTCAGCTCTAATCTGGGCTTTGAATGTGGAGTTATGATTTCAGTTTTGTGATTAGTTCCCTAATCACAAAGCCATGTCCTAAAAAGCATTATCTCAAGGACTCTGTAAGTGTAGTGGTCTGTTTAAGTTGCAGGTAACTGGGAAGCGGGTTTCTGGGAGAGACATACTATTCACCAGGGATGGAAAACATTATTTGTGCTAACTTTCCAGGCAAGCAATATATGAACTGTAAATAATTAGCTTTAGTYGAGTGTAGTGGAAAGGATGAATAATTAATGTAATTCCAGTGAAATGGCTTAGAAACATATTTTTGTCCTAGTGACATACATTATCTGACAGAGGCCARCAGAGCAGAACTTGTGGCCCCAAAGTCTGTTGAATCAGTAAATGTGGAAGACAAATGGAGCAGCTGTGTGTGACTGACATACATGGAAAGAAAACAGAGCAGGAATTTAAGGTGATATATTGGRCAGGTTTGTTTGGGAAGGCTGCAGGGGTGGCTTCTGTGAGAAGACACCAGGAMCTGCCTCCGTGTTGAATTAAGTTCCAGCTGGCTCCAAGGCAGACCTGCTGCTGGCTAAAGCTGAGCCCATCAGCAATATTCGTGGCACCTCTGTGGTAATAGATTTAAGGAGGGGTAAAAAACATGCTGTGCAGCAGGTCTGGGAGGGGAGTGAGAAAATRTGAAACAGCCCTGCAGGCACCAAGGTCAGTGAGGAAAAAGGAGGAGAAGATGCTTCAGGTGAGGATGTAGAGAATTTCCTGCAGGCCATGAAGACCATAGTGGCACAGGTTGCTCCTCAGTAACCCAGGGAGAGGAATGACGGAGCAGATATCCACACAGATTCCATGGAGGACCTCATTCTGGGGCCCAGGGATGTGTACTAAATGAAGCTGGAGCAGGCCCCTGGCAGTTTTAGAACCTTTGGCCCATGGGGGACCCACACTGGAGTAGTCCTTTCCTGAAGGACTGCATCCTGTGTAAATAACACATGCTGAAGCAGTTCATGAAGGACYGTCTCCTGTAGGAGAGGCATAAAAATAAAAGTAGCTCTCAGTGCAGTTACATGGCAACCAGTAACTGGCAGGGACACTGAGATAGTATTAAAAAATGTATGCCTCTGATCTCTGTAACTGTACTAGATCTTCTGTAAGAAGTGGTTTACCTGGATAGTTTCTTACCCCATGTGTTTGAGAGCACAACTGTACTTACCTCAGAATTGCCAGCAGGAAATAAGATATTATTTGGCTACTAGACTGTTTTGTCATTTCTTATTACACAGCAAACTCTGGAGAACAGTCATTACTGTATCTGTTTCATTAAATTTTGGATTGTTGTTGAACCATTTCAGCCAGAAATAGACACCTAGCTGGAAATACTTTTAAGAAATAGGAGTGGTCCAGTGCTTGAGGCACATTCTTGTAGCCCTGTCTGAGCTAGGAAATGTGTTAAGCTGAAAACAGTATTGCTAACATGCAGAGAAAAAAGAAAATGAGTCAGTAATTTGTTTATTCTTTYACGGATATCAGTAAATTAGCTGTTTAAGAAAAGTTTGCCAAGTTTTGCATAAAAATCTTATACTTTGTAAGGTCTGCTGTATCTGGGTTAAGACAGCCAATCTGTGTCTACTTAGATTGTTTTTTGGTGCGGCATGGGGAACAAACAGATTTATGTAGTGCTTGGTTGAGGCCTTTGAAGGGAACAATGCGTGCAACACCTGGGAAGGTGCAGCATGCCACTCTTCGTGGTAAAATTCATTCTGTTTCTTAAGCTTAGCCTCTCACTTGTATGACTTTTTTTCACCTTTTAACTTTGATGGATTCTGTTCTGAGGGGTTTTTTTTTGTGTGTTAAAGATGTAACTCTCAATGTACATTTGTCCTTTATAAAGTATATAAGAACTTTATGGCACTTGTATTTACATCTAGTCAAAGGCAAGAAGACTGTTCATAATTTTTGTGATACTGCATATTCTGATCTAACAGCCTATTTACATGTTACAATGAAATGTGTGTAGAAAAAACTCTGCATGATTGATGTATTGTGAAGGGATAAGGGAGACTTTTGCTAGGCCTCCCAGTTGGTTCCTTGCAGGCTCCATTTCCGTGTTATCTCTGTAGGCTGGTTCTGTATTGGTTGTATACAAAATGCTCAACAGGCTTGATTTTAAAAATATGTATAAATTGAGGTCAAGAGAAAGTTCATACTGAGTTCACGAAGATTTGTATCAGTTCTTTAGACTTRCCTCTGCAAGTCTGTACAGTTCTTTTTTGTCAGTTCTTATCATTTTACTGTTTCTACAGAGAATGAAATTTTAATTTCCTTTCTTTGGCAAGCCTTGTAATTTATCAGAATTCAAAGTGATGTGACACCACTTAAAAGCAATGATGTGCCTCTCCTTTGTCTGTTTCCCAGTCGGGCCTTAGTCTGGCATTAAATTTTATTTAAATGTGAGCTTGCATCTTGGAGGGGCTTCCATGATATCTTTTTTGTTGTTTGACAGAAAAGCTGTGTACTGTCAAAGAGTACAGAAGACAAGCTAAACTTAAAGGTGGAAAGAGGCTGGAGCTTTTAGTCTTGGGACCCTCTTCTGCAGGAATGTYAGCTGGGGTCCTGTACATAGAGGTCTGGGGAAGTGGCTCTCTGTCCTCTCTATTCATAGTGTTTGAGAAAGGACAGACAGCTCTTGGGCCATACAAGCACCTGTTCAAGCTTCTTTTGCCATACTTATGGTACAATTTATCTGCTCTAGTTCTCTCCTTTTCTCATCTGTATTTACTGCCTTTTGTTACATTTATGCTGGGTTTTTTTCTGCTTCTGTGCTTTCCCTTCCCCCTCTATGCATTTCCTCTTCAGTTTTTGCTTCCCTGGCCAAGTCGYTCTTCATTTTCATTTTGCATGTTGCCTAGAACACATTCTCCCGAGMCTTTGCTAATTCCCTTTCGATTAGCTTTTACTTTGTGTAGAGATTACACATACAGAAAAGAATGCCTACAATTTAGATGATTGTTGAATGACTTCCTASCACAATCTGAAGCTTGCATTCCAGGATTTATTTGTGCTACCAAAAATTGTCTTTAGGATAATGCACAAAGCTCCTGTGCTCCAAGGCACTTCACTCATGTTAACTGAGTTCTTGAATCAAGTATCGTTCAGGTCAAGTGGTAATAACATTGTGAAAGATATGTCTGCTTTGGTCTGAATCATTTTGCCATGTTAAGAATGAAATATCTTTCAATAAATGGGTAATTTAATTAGAAGAACCAGTAAAAACAGCATCCCCCTTCAGAAGGTTGTTGAGCAGCAATAGAAAATCTTCTGAATGAAGACTGGCATAGTTCCAGTGCTGCTACCTGCCAGAGATAATGAAATGCAGTTAAAAAATACTGCTATTGTTAAAGAAACACTGGAGCATAGCACCAGTATTTCAGCTTACAGAAAAGCTGATGGGTACATTACCATCATGAATAAATGCTATTTCATGTAATCTCAGTAGCATTATGTTAAGAGGAGCATTTAGAAAACACAGGAGCTTTCCCCAAAATGTTAGCKTGATTTTGGTGCTGTGAACACTCATAAAACCTTCAGTGGGGTGAGAATGCCAGCAAAACCACACTCTTCCGCTCAAACAGGTGAGATTAACTAAAACTCTGAAGGCTACAAATCTGTTTTTACATTCTGTATTCTTAGGTGCCAAATGACTTGGTCTGCCAGCTATTTCCTTACTGTGTGTGCTATTTCCTTACAGTCCTACAGCAAAAACCTACTATAGAATTATAATATATAAAATATTATATATTTTATAATATTTTATATATATATATATAATTATATATTTATATATATAACATTATAATTATATAATTATATATATTTATATATAATTATAATTATATAATTATAATCATATAATTATGATATATTAATTATATAATTAATTATTATATATTAATTATATAATTATAATATATAAAATATTATATATAAAAGAGATTTTAAGCATCTCTTCGGGAAAATCAAGAGGCTTCAGTTAGAAAACGTTGGAATAATTTAGAATGCAAGTAGATATTGTGATATCCTTGATCAAGACAGCTATGACAAAGACATGTTTTTCTTAATTTATTGGGAGTTTTGCTATTTACGGTTACATTTCCCTTTTTTTTTTTTATTTATTTTTTTTTAAAAGTTCATATATCCTCTCTGGGCTCCATGTACAATTGACAGACTTATTGGCAGACTTCCTTCTCCTCCCATCCCAATTCACTTTATGCACTTCACTTTATGTCCATGACAGATACAATATTTTGTAGTTTTTTTGTTTGCTGTAGTGGTTTAACAGCCAGCATTCTGGGAAGCAGCCATGTGCCCTCAATGTCTTRTGTCTGCCCCAGGAAATCCTGTGAAGGGCTTTGGCATTTCCTGTGGGTGATGTTAATCCTTGCCTAATCTGCAAGCAATCTGTAGCAGGAAGTGGTCAACCACAGATGGCAAAATGGACCTGAGCTCTGGCACAGCAGTCAKTAGTGTGGCCATGCAACAGCAGGGACCTACCGTGGCCTGAGCTGTATTGGTTAAGTTGCAGGCACAGGGTTAAGGGAAGAGGGGACTTTTTCACCCCCTCCCTCTTTTCAGAATGCATGAGACCACATCTGGTGCAGCCTGTAARAGAGGAAAAATGTCAGACATTTTTTCAAGTCAGTGTTTTAAAAACTTGTCATCTTAAATGCACCTCTTGTGCTCTTGGGTTATATGAGTTTTGTTTTAAGTTCGTAAATCTAAGTCTGAAATGTGCATTGGATCTGTTTGAAGAAGCCGGTTTTTGATCTGTAGCTTTGCTTTCTTTTTCCTGTCTTTTCCTGTCATTTGGATTATGAGGACGCCTTTGCAGAGGGGCTGTTATGTTTAGGTGGTTAATTGCCAAAATCGAGGGCTWCTGGGGAAAGTGGTCATTGCTGGGCTGTGGCTGATTTGCAGTTATCCTGCAAAGCTCTTTACTTCTGTGCATTTCTGTAAGGCTGTGCTCACTATTCCTGGTTGATCTTCCCTGGCTCTGCAAGCTGGTTCCCAGTGACTCTTCTGCCACTTGTCCCATTCTTTGGGGTAGAATAAAATCAAAATGCTTCAGATGAAGCTGGGAGGTGTTTGCATCTTATTCGTCTTTTCTTGAGTCTTTTTTGTTTAAAARCTTTTGTTGTTCTCATCTTTCTTAGTGTCACCAATATGGTCTGTGGGGGTTTCAGATCAGTTCCCCACAGCTGAAGGGTCTAGTACATCCCAGGCTGCTCTTGAAAATCATGTCCTCAGTTCAGAACAACTTTCTGCATTTCAGTCCTTGCAAGAGATGCCTATATCTAAAGTAGTCACTAGAGGTTCACTTTGTTGACTGATGAAAATAGTCTCTTCTAGGGCATCATTCAGTTGATGAGAGGAACTGCATACCTCAGTGGGGAGCATTTAGTGACAGTCATGGGTTCAAACRTCTATATTTGATCATCCCAAAAGAACTAGTCCTGGATGTTAAGTTTGTTTGTTTGGCTTTTGTGAGCCCTTAAAAAGGTCACTGAATGGGTGATGAAAATACTCAAATTGACCTTTCCRTTTTCCATTGAGGAAATACTGAAGCATGTAGGAAGAATTCTCAGATAAGACCTTGACTGGCCTTCATCCCAGTCTTGAAGATCTCCTAAAAGTCAGTGCTGCTGAAGCACATGAATCTAAAGTATGATGGCACACCAGAGACATGTGTTGGAGGAGAGCATTTCTGATATATAAAATAGCATATTTCATTCTGATACTTAYATGTATGTCAAAAATTAACTCAAARCAGAAAATTATATGTATGGGAAGACTTAGTAAAAAACTGTATGRACTGTTGCATTACTAAAACTGATCTAAGGGTTTTTCTTTATTAGGAGAGGGAAAGGACAATAATTGAACATTGAAATTGTAGCTAAAGAGATCTTAAATGCAATAAATAAACATTTTCTAATTTCAATTTACTTTAGCACCATGAAAAAGTACTTATTCTCCTACCCCAGGCATTTTAAGTCAAGACCTTAACTAAAAAAATAATTTCTCTTTTTACAGTATATTCACTCATCAGGCATAATTCACAGGGTAAGTGGAAAATGTTAAAAATGTTTATATTTTGATAATGTGAATGATATTTGTGTATAAGCATGCTTATAAATATGCCTGAAATTCTTTTTATAGCTTTTCTCAGTTGGTTGGTGCCTTTGGTTTCTCCTTCAGTAGGAACAAAAGGTGTCATGGCTATCTCAGTCTAAGTTGGGCACTCAAGTTGCACTGAATGCAGCTTAGATTTGGGGTTCCTAAATTACTTGGTGAAGTTGAGGTGTATGTCCCCACAAGAGAAAGAAATAGTGTCTAAATTGAGTTGGATGAGAGTTTTTTTCTGTATTTTTTTWAAATGAAGATTAAACTTTTAAAAACGATGTTTAGGTTTTCTTTAAACACTGTATTAGTGTTCAAAGTTTTGGGGGAACCACAGAAAGTGAAAAAAATGTTCAGAATTATGGAGCCTTGAGAACTTCAGTTTTTTTCCTGAGAGAAATTAAACATTTGATTCTTTTTGAATCCTGTCTCTGTATAAAGTCCACATAAAATCACTTCTGCACTGTGAAGATGGAGTTTTGAATGAAGCCTTAGTGGTACCAARAAGCATCTCTTCCCCAAAACTGCATTAGAACAGTAGAAATTGTACATTTTTAATAAAGTATCAGGAGCACCACAGTGCACATTGTATAGTAGCTTTAAGCTGGACATAGAAACTACACAAACTGAGAAAATAATGTAAGATATTTATATTTATATTTATATTTATATTTATATTTATATTTATATTTATATTTATATTTATATTTATATTTATATTTATATTTATATTTATATTNTATTTATATTTTTGCAACTGCTGTGATCATGGGTCTAAACTTACCATTGCTTAGGCTTTTTCTAAGGTCCCTCTTGATGACCCTTGAACTTCTTGGTTTAATTGTGGTTCTTTGCACCAAATTGCTCTCCAAGGCCCCTCTCATCTTAGAACATTTTTGTATAAGACAGGTGGATTCCTGTTGTAAAGTTCAGAGAAAAGATACTTCTAAATATCTTGTGCTAAAGTGTATCAAAGGTTTGAAAAAGCTGAAGGAAAATATATTTCTAACTATGTGTGCCTGAGTCACTGTTGTTGCACTATCATCTTGTTGCCAGTGCTCTTCCCTTTGCTAAACTTTGTAACTGTGGAAGATCATATAGAAGTCCCTAAGGTAGCTGAAGAGGCTTAAGGGAATACTTTTTTTTCAGGTTGCAGTTCTATTGGCTTTCATAGGAAATAGATTTTTCCACAGAAGAGAGCATACAGTTTTATATAAAATCTTGTTTGGTTCCTTAAGTACTCTTTCTGAATCYATCAGGATAAGGAACCTTTATAATGTGTATTTGGAATACATATTTGAATATATGTGAGTTATTAACTTTGTGGTGTTAGTATTAAATACAGCAAATGTATGTCCAAACACCCGTCATAGAAAAATGAGTGAATTTCTTCACTGGCAAGTATTTTCCTGCCTTATAGAAGGAAAAGAAAATGCAGATTTTTCTTAGGGGGAAAATAGGCTGGAAAAAATCCAAACATATGCAAGTCTGTGTCCTTGTTTGTGTTATTTGTTATGACATCATTTTACCTGTTGCTGTTCAAAATAGTTACGTAAAAATAATAAAATAAAAAAGAAGGAAGCAAAGAGTACTTTATTGTCTTTCTGTAAAAAAAAAAAAAAAAAAAAAAAAAAAAAAAAAAAAAACCAAAAACCCAAGCCTTTCATTTAAAATCTGTTTGCAGGATCTGAAGCCGGGAAACTTGGCAGTAAATGAAGACTGTGAATTGAAGGTAAGGTATGTTTGAAAAAATAGTTAGATATGTTAGAAAAGAGAAGACAACTGGTGCTGCAAATGTRGACATGCTGGCTGGCTTCCGTGTTGGCCCATGCTTTTTACCCTTGAATCACAATTGGCCTGTACATCCTCACAAAACCACAGGGAATTTGAATAAGGATTTCCGTGTGCTGRTGTGTAAGGACACATCAGATGTTATGGCCAAGGTTTCCTACCTAAAAGAGATGTAAAAGTTTATGGGAGCGATTGTTTATGTGAGAATTTCAGCTTTGAATAAATAGAAAAAGTCAAATTCTACAAGCTGGGAGATACAGGAGATCAAAGGTTGTGAAGGACACCCTTAATTGAATAAAATAAAAGGTGATGCAAAACACTACCAAAGTGTATTTTAGCATACAGCATACAAATTGTATACTTGCATGTAGCCATTGTAATACAATTTTTTGGTCTTTAGAGGCTGACATGAATGTTCAAGGGTCCTGTGATTTTAGAGTTTTCCTATCCAACACAAAAAGCCATGGACTTTTCCTGGCTTTTAGTGGCCAAATGGTGAATGGATACCAGGGTGATGGGGAAAAAAGGGAGTCTAGGAAAAACAATTGTATATGGTTGTTTGCCCCTGCACCCTCAGATGTACAATTATATTTTGAGATGCAGGCCAGGTCTAAGACATTYTTTTATAATACAGTCTCATGATCTCACAGCTTTCTGTCTCCCTCACCTGATGGTCTCAGCTCCTACACARGTGTCAGAAAAGTGACAATGAAGGGTGCATGAGGGGAAGTCACTGTCCTTTCTGTAGTCTCAAAGTTACAAGTMATTTTCTTTACAGTTACTGAAGCAGGTCAAGARTATTAAGTTTGCTGAGTCAAAGGGGAGCTATCCTTGAGAAGCTGAGGGGAATTGGCTCATTGTTTTATAATTCACGAATTGCAAAAAGGATTTTTAGACTTGCTCTGAAAATTGACATGAAAGTTCCAGCTGAAAAGCTGAAGGTTAGAGTGTGAGAATAAAAGTTTTGTGTGAAGATAGTTGTTGAAATGATATCCTGTTAATATTAAGTACAAATAGCATATGTTTGTTCCTGAGCTTAAGGAACACATAAATGAAAATAAATTTTGAAGTTAAAACATAATACAAAAATTCTTGCTGTCATATTCTACTTTTACAAATCTACAAAACCAAATTATATTTTAGCTGTTTCTAACTGCGTGTCGCAAGCCTTGGTAGATAAAATGCCTAAAACCTGTGACCGAATAGACCATACCACATCTGGCTTTGACCTGTTAGGTAAAAGATTTTTCTCTTTCTTCCACCCTCTCTGTCATCTTRCTGGGAAAATAAAATGTGTGCTGAATATGCAGAATAAATTGGAAAGCCATGTATAAAAGTATATTTTGCCACTGCAAATATTTTGAGTCAAGTAAACCTTTAGTACCTAAAGAATCAACCACCATCAAGTGCATTTAATTGATAAGAATAAAAATGTCTCCCTTTGCATTCTATTCCTGTTTTTAAATTGATTGGTAATCAGCAGTTGTGGGGAAAACATGGAAATGATATTTGAAGAATGACAATTAAGATAAACCATAACATTTTGTAGTCTTGATCTGTGAATGAAAATAAAATTCTCCATTTTCTTAGTGCCAGGGAATGATGAAACTTTCATGAAATATTTTGAAATGTTTGCCAGGGAGCAATGAAACTACCCTGAAATATTTTAGAATGTTTAATTGCAGAGATCATTACAAAAACATCACTCTTAATGTGGGAATGCCCAGGTAAAAACTTCTGCCCYGTCAATAAACACATGCAGCCTGATTCACATGGCATGTTCATGCAAAGTTTCATATTCATTTGTCTCTGGGTGACTATGATTTATCTTCTATAGGCTTTACTTACCCATGCCTCCTATTTCTTGTTRGAAGCATGAACTGTCTGATAAATACAAACAGGTCGTTGCTCCAGGAGTGGAATTTTCTTGCTGTTGGCTGCATCTTTTGATGGTCTGTACAGGTGGGCCTTCTTAAGGCAAATTTTATAAAAGTTGACAAAAGGCCATAACATTCATTTTTCATCTTGCTGCTGTATGCATTGCTGTTTTTTTCATCTTGCTGCTGTATGCAATGAGAGAAATATCTGATAATCTTAGAAATGTTGGTTTGTACATAGTACTTTCAAAATATTGCACTGATCTTTCATTTCTTAYAAAAGGTTTTCCTATAGTTGATGCAGGGGGTTGGACAACACTTGGTGAGACTAAATGATTCCTAGTAATTCCCTACTCTTTTTTCAGATTTTCAGTACGACCTATAGGAAGTCTTCCTTTGTATGAGTTACTCATAAAATAGAAATAATGATACCTTCTTACTTCAGTATATTGTTGGAACACCCTCGAATAATTGTGCCATCTGCGATCAATGGACACTGTCTGAAATGGGTGCTGTTCTTTTAGCTGTAGCTTGATGCAATGGTGACTCTGTGGTCAGGGAATTTTTTACATTAAATGCATCCAGTATCTTTGTAATAAGTGAATAATTTATTGTTTTCTCAACTGTTTCTACAGCTTTTGATGGCACTGTAGGAGTATGTAACTTGAAAAAAAAATATTCAAACCTCTCTGCTATCTCGGTCTTGATTTTTAAAATGAGAACAAATCACTTCAATGAGAAAAGKATACAAAAATAAACTAATCTCCACAGACTGCTCCAATTTTTTTTTCCTACAGTTGTAAGGAACTGCATGAACTAGATAACTAGGTGTCTGATCTGTATGTTCTTTGTGCTTCCATTACAGATTCTGGATTTTGGATTGGCAAGGCATACAGACAGTGAGATGACTGGCTATGTGGTTACAAGGTGGTACAGAGCCCCAGAGGTCATACTGAACTGGATGCATTATACTCAGACAGGTCAGTGTCTCCAGAAATATCTTAACRGAGCTAAAGCATTCCCTGAATCAGGCGATATATAAACAAGACTTTGTTTCTGAAATTAATGAGAAATTGGAGGTGGAAATGACAATATAATTATGCAGAAATTCCTTGTAGATAAATTGCAAGTAATCATGTGGTGGTGGTGAGTTTGGGTTTTTTATGTATGTTTTCTGAGAGTAAAAGGAAGTGCCAAAGTGATTAGAAAAACTTATWTAAATTATACAGATGTGACAGTCTGGTCTCTGTTCTTGAGTTTCTGTAAAGGTGTGCTGATTTTAACTTGAACAGACGGGAAAATGGCAAATGGAGGGAATTCAAATAACACTAAGATAACTRTGGAAGTTTTGGAAATATAAAGCATTTAAAATTTACTTGCCACGTTCATCTGCCTGTTACTGAGAAACTCATTCTGCGTATTTTATTATCTCCAGTTTGCTCATTAGAAAGTCTGGTAGTTTTACCGATGCTGTTAATCATACTTGGCACACATTTATTTTATAACAGGCTATAAAGGTAATTTTTATACTTCTTTAAAATGTGTTTTAAATTAAGCTTTATGCACATTTAAATGAGCAAGYTAATGTGCCTCTTGGTCTTTTTTCCAGTTGACATCTGGTCTGTGGGTTGTATAATGGCTGAGATGATCACAGGGAGACCTCTGTTCAAGGGAAATGATCGTATCCTTCAGTGAATTTATAATACCAATGTAAGAAAATTATGAGAGGTTCTTATATGATACAGTAAATCTGTTCAAAAATTGATGAGTATAAATTGAAATTATAGTAAAATRGCTTGCACCTTTCTCATTAAATAGTTACTTCATATCTGTAATACTTTTGCACACCTGCCAATTAAATTTTTATTACTGATTTTTTCAGTAGTGGTGATCTTTGATTCACATCTCAAATCATCAARTAAAAGGCTCTGTGATAATACAAAAGCCATAGTTTTTTTTTAGTGTGTGCAAATTACATGCGTTGATCGTTCAGACACTCTAATACTTTTGGACTGATTTTCATCCAAAACCAGGCCTGATAATATTATAAAATTTTGCAGATGATTCAGTTATGTGTTCCCAAATTATAGGATATTTTCTTTGCCTTTTGTAAGAAGAAAGGAGATTTTTAATCTTTTGTATTCAGTCATTGAATTAAGATTTTTACTTTATTCTCCAACAGCAAAGAAATCCATTATTTTTGCAGGATGCTTAGTTTCCTAATGGTGAAAGAATTTATTCCTAATTTCTGGTATTCAGATCTGGACCAACTCACAGAAATAATGAAAATAACAGGTACCCCAACTCAGGATTTTGTTCAAAAATTGCACAGTCAAGATGTGAGTATTCTGCTTTGTCAGTTGATTTTACATATCTTAATTTTACTTTAAGCCATGCTCAGTTCATTGACTGGCTGAAATATTATGTATTGATTACTGATATGACCCTCGATGGTCCCTCTCTGCCTTGAAATGCTTTGTGCACCCTCAATAGCCACTGGAGATGGGGGTGGAATGACAGAGGATCATCAGAGCATTATATAAATACTTCAAGATTCCAGAGTGTACCTTATAAACAGCTGAGCTGATACATTGGAGCTTTTATTGTAAAGGTACTGAAAGCATGAAGATACTCAGAAAACSCAGTTGTTTGCAAATATCTCTTTCCTGCTCTTATATGGATGTCCTTCTAGAATCCTGAAGCCCTTACAATAATGAACCTAAATTYGTTCATTAGACTAACTGTACAATTTAAATATTAAGTAATACAAGGTTCACTTTGAGAGATTGCTTTAAACTCATTATGACATTCTTTCAAATAATTCATACATATTYATTTGAATAAATAAATATAGAGCACTAATAATTAAAGCTTTGCATTATAATCTCCAAATCATGGTTTTACGGCTTGATTTAAAAAAAAATCTGTTGAGCAAGAAGGTGAATTTCATCASGGTCTATGACCCAGAAAAAATGCATTTGTACAATGTGCTGTCAAAACATTTTTGAGTTATCTGTTAAGCATATGATTAATGTTGTCACATTACAGAGGTGGCAAAGGTCTAATTTAATATCCATGTTTCTTTTAAGGCAAAAAATTATATCAAAAGCCTCCCAAAAGTACAGAAGAAAGATTTTGCATCCATCCTGAAGTACACAAATCCTTTGGGTAAGACCATTTATCTGGATGTGTACAGCCTGTTCTTGTGTTTGCACTGGAGGCAGCAGCAGTATCAGTCRTGTGGCAGGTGATGTGATGGTTCTTGTGCTATTCTGTCTCTTGCTTTCCTTGCTTTCGGTGGTAGGAATCAATTGTTTCTTAGAAGCATCAAAAAAAAGAAATATTTCATCTTTTAGGTTTCARTCTAGCACCTGTTTATTGATTTTAYTTGAGCRGTTTTCTCAAGAGCTCTGGCAGATTAAGTATGTGTAATAAAATTTKCTCTGTGTTGTATTTGAAATATAATTCTGAAAGCTCAATCTGCAGTTGAAGTGCAAGAAAATGGAAAGCTAATTTTAGCAATGGAATTAATACATCCTGAGAAACATCTGTGCATTCCTGAGAAGTACTGGCTTGGATTTGATAGATATAAACAGCCAGAAGRGCATACCAAGTGTGCATAAATGTGACATGACCTGAGGCACACAGAGCTCTGAAATTACCTTCCCTAAGCATTATCAATTTCCCAATGACCTGAACACTCACAAAGCCAGTTTTRTTGGAATATTAATTAGAATTAATTAATTGAATTTTCTAAATTTAGAAAGTTAAAATTTTAGGTTCAGATGCAATAGAAATAAATCTGATTATTAAACAGCTCTTACCCTTACTGCATGGTTAGCTCAGGGACCTTCTCAGCTACAGCAAGTGACACATTTCCATTCAGTTTTTAGGGTGTCTCTTCTTATAGTTTCTGTGGCTATCTGACTGTTTCTGGTCTGGGATTGATATTTAAAGAGAATATAAATCATGGCAAGCAGGAGTTGAAGCATCCTGTCCCACAGTTCTGCCTCCACTTCCTTTCAGCTRTTCCACCAAACCCAAGAACATCCTTTCAAGATAGAAAAACAGAAAATAAACAAATCATTCATCATACCTACTTACACTACTCCATTTTGACAGTCTAGCAAWGGACTTGATCCAAAATCCACAGGAGGGGGGCATGCAAAATTTTARTGGATTGTTTTGGCTGAGGTCAAAACCATATAGCAGATAGTCAGCCCTGAGATTCTGAGCATGGACAACCGACTTGTGTTGTGTACTTCAAAGTGTACTTGGGTTTGGAGCTGGTGACACAGAGCGCAGTTCTCATTAGCTGTTGGCCTGCTCATTCAGCTGCTSTCAGAGGGTGATGTACCTCAGAACCACAATGAATGGCAGTGATTGAAGACACCTGGGAAGGCTCAAGAACTGTGGTTCTGGAGCCAGAAGCTGAGAAGTCATTACCTGAGGGGTTTTCTGTATTGCATACAGAAGCAAGGGTGCACCTCTGCATGTCATCAGGCTTTGTACACACCCCAGTTTGTTCACAACACTGTCCTGCTGAGGGGCCCCAGTGGCTGTAAAGGATACCCAGTGATTCTGCTTTGTAACTCCATGTATTTATTTGAAATACCTCCAGGGCAGTATTACTGTAATCTAGTGGAATCAGTTGTGTGATTTGAATACACTGTTGGTTCTCTGTGCAACAGCTGTAAACCTTTTGGAGAAGATGCTGGTGCTGGATGCAGAGAAGCGAGTCACAGCAGCTGAGGCTTTGATGCATCCTTACTTTGAAACAATTCACGATCCTGAGGAAGAAATTGACGCTGAGAAATACGAYGATACATTTGATAACATGGAACTTCCCCTAGATGAGTGGAAGCGTGAGTTTAGTTTTGTTTTCAAAAATAACCAGATTGAAAAGCCATGTAAAAATAAAAATGTTCCCCTTTACATTACTTCTCTTCTCTTGATCAAGCAGAGTAAATAGACAGTGTTAAGAAGGAGAAACACTACTGAYAAGCCAGTGTTCCTCTTATCAAGTCCTCGTGTAAGGATCTCCAAAGGTTTCTTCCCTGCTTCCTAACAGAGTCTGTCCTCCACTTCCATAATGCTTCTGTCCTCCCATCTTCTGCAACATAGAAAAGAAACCCACTCCTATAACTTGCCTTTCAGTGAATAGGGCAGGTGAACAGATCATTTGACTTGCTTCTGTAGGACTGCAGTGACTGCTGGCCTTTAAAGTTAGGTTCTCTGAGGAGAAAAAATGTATCTGTGTCAGTAGAGATTTAAGTCTAGTCTTGTTTTTATCTAAGGTCAGAGATTTGTATTTTGGCTTTTAAGTGAGGACCTGACTTTTAAAGCTAATGTGCTCAGTAGCTCTTCCTGAGGATATTGCCCACTMTACTCAAAAGTCAGTGCTCACATCTCTTTGAAAGCACCTATACCATTTCAGTATTGGGCTACTTCTTCCAATCTGAAATGACAAAGAAATGATCCTTGAGTCCCTTACTTTTCGTATTCTTCCTCTCTTTTTGCCTGAAGAGGTCTCTCTCTTCCTGAGCTAGATCAGAGCCCAACCATGCTGGGATTGCACCTTGCTCATTCATGTTTGTGCTACTCCTTTTCTGATTAGAACAGCAATGCTATGTCTATTCTATTGTTTTGCAGGCATTACATATAAAGAGATATTGAACTTCAAGSCACCACAGACATCGGACTCAAAGGAGACAGCAGTGTAATTGCATGGCTCAGTATTTTCAGAACTCTGAGGAAAACAGAAAAGTTGTAAATGTTTTGGCATTCCAGGTGTATAAAACTTTTTATAAATAAACTCTATGTAATCTGTTTCATCTGCACTGTAAGAAAGAGCAATGTCCTTTACTCTGCATGTGCAAGTTGGTGCCTTTGGGAGTAGCATTTCAAAAATAGCCAGAAACTGCCCTTTTGCACAAAAGGACTCAGACTGCAATAACGTGGTGCCCTCCTCAAAAGAGCAGGACTATTTCTTCAACTCAGAGATCAGAAGAATACAAGTTACCACCCCAAGCAAACTGAGGACACAGTGTGTCAGAGAAGTGCTGTGACTGCTCTCCAAGGCCACTGAACCATCTTGAACGCAAGAAGTATTCATGTTACTTCCTCTGGAATATTTCACTTTGCTGAAATGCTTGGGAAGGCTAAACATCTGTTACCTCAGGTACTGCAGTAGGTAGCACAGACACAGCCCAAATTAATTCCTGTGTCCCCTGTCTTGTGGCACTGGAAGAGAACCTCAGAAGTGTCAGTGTCCTACATATTTTTAAAGTAACCAGCATAGCAGGACAAGATTTCATAAACTCACTAGGTAGACAGTCACTRGATATACTGGATATAATCACTGTATAATATTTTTCTCTAAATAAGTGCAGTTTCTTTTTATAATAGACTAGGGATCAAGGATTTCCAGGGAAAAATTCTTYAGATTTTCTAAAATTTTTCTAACATGTTACTATCGAAATTATCTCAGACCATGTACTGGTTATAGAAAATCAGTGCTGATTTTGAAAATAAAGCTTCATGTGGTTCACTTTATAGAAAAACAAAATGAGGACCAAAATTATACACTGCAGCTCTTTGTTGGGAATACCTGCAGCAAGCCGTTTTTTTTCACAGTGTACAAAGCTGTTACCAGGTGAGGAATAATAACCGTTCCTTTTTTTTATCCTTATGAACTCATCTTGCTTGGGAAAACTTTCATACCTTCTGTTGAGAAGTACCTTAGCAGAAGGAGTCAGCTTCCTGATGGGATATATTGCTTAGATGCTTCATGAGTTCCTCTTACTGTCCTGTTACTGTATTTTCCTAGATGCTTTGTTTGCAAGGATCTCTGAGAGATAGGAAAAAGAATTGGCAAACCTTTGTGAAGAATTTCTGTGTGAAATTGCTTGTCTTTCTTAATGGTAGCGTCTTTACAATCGATGTTTGGATGTGGGTTATTCCAAATGTAATATGCTGTGTTGTGTTACCACTCAGTGAAATGTATGGGAAGGAAGATATTTGATCTTAGCAGGAAAAAAAGAAATTCCTTGGAGGTTTTTTTTTGCTTTAATATCCAATATAAACCGTAAGTTTAATAAAGGCATGGTTATTCTGTTTTTTTCAATGGATGTTTGAATTAAACACCTGTAAATACTATCATTTTAAAAATTGTTTGTGATGAGTGTTGATTAGCTGAGGTGGCCAGCTGAGAGACTAAATAGTAACAGAAACCTTGAATTCATGTATTTGACAAGCCATTAAAAAACTACAGCTTCAGGAAAGTGTGGGGAAAAAAAGRCAGACAATAAATTGAATCAAAATATTTTTCCAAACTACAGGTTCCTCACAGAGGAAGACACCCTTAAGAGTCATACCCCATTTTGCACTATAGAYTTTCTGCTTGGTCTGCACTTTTATGTTAAATAGAAACTTTATCTTTTACAGGATAGATGTTTTCTCTTAGAAGCTTTAAAGTCCTCTTAAAACCRTGGGGGAAAGGTGCCTATTGGAATAGTGATGTTGATAGAGCCAGTCAATAGGAAATGAAAAATGTCAAACACTTACTTGAAAATGCTGCCTCTGTATTTAGATGGATTTCAACATCCTAAATTCTAGCAAATGACTGAAGTCTGGAGATAATACAGATGACTCAATTGTTACTCAGGGGGAGAATGTTTTTAATTGAAAAACTGCTTTTCATTTTCTTCCTAAAGGCCAATACTTCAGTGGGCATTTCCACACAGTCAAACCCTAAAATCCTCCATTGGCTGAGGTGAACTTTTCCCTCTCTTAATTTTAACTTAGTGTTTGGAGAAACAGTCAGCACACATGAAAAAAACATGGAAGATAATTTAAGTTTTTCTTGGTAGTAGAGAAACACAGAACTYTTAAAATAACTGAAGACTTTGATGCATATGTCAGCAAAGACAGAAGTACTGCTGTGCCATCAGCAAACAGCTAAGGCAAAATCAAGTTGGTCAAGAAGTTTCTGTGAAGAGATTGAATTCTGCAAAAATGTCTCTAAATGGCAATAGAGATCATTAAAAGAAATGAAGTGAAAGCAGAAATATTTTGCAGCGGAAAAGTCTCTCTCCTAAGGGAGATACAACAGTTCCTAAGTTTTTATTTGCTATTCCTACTGGTGCTAAGCAGCTCAGGAATAAGAACCCAGATTCTGTTTGCCTTAAAAGAGACATGTAAATACATTCTGCATGTATTTGAAATGTATTGTGATAAATAAAGATTGGGAGGTTTTTTATACAATAGTGGTCTTATTTTCCTCATATGTATTCCCAAATGTATAATGAGTACTGAAAATATTTTCGGTGAAGTGAACTGTGTGAAACTAGTATTGTAGGTACATTTCGTGTAATATTGGCTGCTGATACAGTTTCTTTTAGAAGTTAGTCAGACCACAAATGCTTATCTTTCTTCTATTTTCCAAACTTGGAGTTGCTACAGAGCTGATCTGACTGTACTACTGCCACCTAATTATTTCTTAACAGTACTTTGCATTTTACCAGACATCTCTGCTTTATTSTGAAGGACAGGATTTTGGTCTTTAAATACAGTTGCATTTCTCAGCATGATTTTAAAAGCCAAATTCAGATTGATGGTCTTCAAGCACTTGCCTTTATGAGTTGGACAGGAAAGTTTGAATGAACGGAGTTCCAATAGGATATATGGAGCTCACATGCTTCCTGACTTAGAGCAACGTTGTCCCCTTAAGTATTAGTCTTATTTCATTGAAGACTCACCAAATGTTGAATTTTGATAATGTGTTATTGTGGGCCAGATGTGGTTCACAACTTCCTTTCTTGATTATTTTGGTTTTTTGGTTTTTTTTTTGTTTTTTTTTAAACAGGATATCACTGCGGTGCGTGCTAATGTGTCTTGCAAAATGTGCTCAGAAGATGCACTTTGTTCTTGATTTGGAGTTACTGGGCATATGAGCTGGGTGGGATTCTTTGAGTTTCCTACTTTCTGATGTGCTGTTAAAATACAAATACCAGATGCTTCTGATCTGTTTCAGCTAAGGTTGTCAGAGAATGAAGCATCTGTTAGATGCTATCATTCCCTGCAGRTACCACAGAAAAGAGTAAGGGGCTCAAAACACCTGCTGTCTCTGCAGATTAATTCTCCATCTCCTGCATACACYGGGGGCATCTGGTTGTATAAGTCTAACAATACTAGAAGCAGTTTCATGCCYAGCAAGCACTTTGAATCTCCTCCTAAGTCTTCATAATAATTCAGAAGCCTGAGTTGAAGAAAGATCAAGGGAGGAGGACTTCCATCAYACAGTCTTTGAAACTTTGTGGACTACCACTTAATGAGCAGCTCTTGTGCACAGATTATTTGCAGCCTGTGGAATAGTAACATCTGAAAACTACATTTTCACGTCGTAGCCTCCTGCAGCTCTGAGGCGTGCGCTTTTTAGCTTCTAGTAACAGCAGCCCACAAGGAGGTGAGTGGGGAAAAGGAAAGTGTTTCAATGATTCATCATTTTTGTCTGCTACTATATTGCACTGTAATAAGCAAAAAAGASCTCTTTTATGCTGCACCTCATTACTTTCCCAAGCTGCAGTTTTCTAGTTCATGGTCTGCTTCATCAGTAAGCAAGGAGGAGCATTACCCAGCAAAGTTCCAGGCATGCAGCTTTTACACCTTTCCTTGAAGCATTTTGAATATGCTGTTATCCTTGAGAGGCAGAAGAGACTGCCAGTGAAATGAAATGCAAGGAAAGAAATTGCTCAGCTCATGTCTGAGAATGCTCTCAGTTTTGCTACATGGTGTCCTGGGAGCACATGCTCCTGGGAAGCAGGTAATGTTGCATGTTTGTATGGTGCCAAGGAGCTGTGAGACTCCTGTTGGAGTGACATTCATAATGCCAACATACGACTGCCACCTAATCCAATTCGGTCTGATACTAATGGGAAATTCATTATTACTGTAACATTATTATGCCACAGCTGATAACAGTAAAATTGTACTGCTCAGAAAACCATGGGCATCCAGTACATGGGGGCCTGGGCCACAGCAGCTTTTTTAAAARCATTTTTGAAGTCCCTTTTATACATGACWGTTCCGGCTTCCAAGTAGTACCACTTCAGCATGTGCCCAGACATTTCGCTGTTCCTATGTAAGTCCTCCCATTTTTGGTTTTGTGCCAAGTTTGACTTTTCTTTTTCATAAAAATGATAGTACACTACTGTAAGAAGGGAAAATACAGCCAAGAAATGTAATCAGAAAAACACTAACTCAGGTTTTCTCTAAAGCAATATGTCCAGCAAAGTGCTGCAGGCATGGTTCATTTACTAGCATTGACATGGCCACAGAGCCAACAGTGCGTGGAAAATTGYGCTCAGCCAAACTGATGGGTGCATATGGCTGTCATCTCTTGTCTGTTGTTCTCCAGCCGTGAAAGAGTAACAATGCAGCCTTTGTGGAGTAGTTGTTTGGGAAAGCTCTGCTGTAAGGGTTATGAGAGCGTTCCTGGGAGGTCACGGAGCTTGGGCTGCTGGGGCTGGGGACCAGCTCAGAGCCAGGGGTGGCCCCTTCCCCATAGGGACCCTGGGGGAGAGACTCCCAGGCACTGTGGGGCCAACCCTGATCAGGGAGCTGCTTCCAGCTGAGGCTTTTGCCTTGGCCCTGCCTGAGCTGCAGCTCCCCACCACCCTGCAGCCATGTCCCTGGCCATGGGTCCCACCAAGCCACCTCCACTCTCAGGCTGATGTCCCAGCCTGGCCTGTCCCCATGTGCAGGGAGGTACCTCACAGCCAGAGCTGGGACTGTCCCCAGTTGCCCCCTGCCATTTGCTCTGACCTAGATATGGTGGTTTACATTAAATCAGGGTCAAGTTGAAAAGATTGGTTGGCAGTACTCCATAATRCATTGAATGAATACATATTTCCTTGCCATTGGCAAATCTACTGTAAGTTGCTGTGAGTGTCCATTTGGACTGTCATGACATCATTATTGAAGTTTTTTATACATGATAAATTTGTGCAAAAGGTAATGATTAGATAGAAAAGAAAATGACTGCAAGAGAGCACAGATTTCCTTTAAAGAAAGAAAAGACAACACAAGAAGATTTTTTTAAGGCATTACTAGTAGTGTAACTAAACAATCAGACTTGCCAGAGAAGCAAAACCACAGCTCTGAGAATATTGTGAATGCTGAGATCGGGTCCTGCCTGCTGGCAGAGTGGGAGGGCTAAGTACCAGGCATAAACTCCAGGTCTCACATCACCTTACAGACTTTACACATGACTCCCCATATGGCTTTCAAACACTGGTAATGCTTAAAGTTCAGGTGGTGAATTTTCAGAACAAGTGTGAAACTGGTCATATAAAATGAGTGAATATTTGGAGTGTAATTCTCTTAATGAAYAGCTCACTAAACTATAATTACTTTATCTACTCAGTATTGCCATTGCAAGTCTTTAAAACAGAATATAACTATGTTTCCTTAGGTTTCTCAATGGGTTTTATGGCCTTTTATGCTTTATGGCTGGATTAGTGGTTTTGATCACCTAGATTTGATATGATTAATGTTAGGAACTTGCTGCATGGCGTCCAGCTTTTGAATTGCTTTCCATAATTAGTGCTTGGTGCCATTAGAGTAATTTGAGACATAAATCATTTATATACAGGGAAAATTCCCTTTATGGAGCAACTGCTGGGGTTATGCTGTAACCTCAGATCTTAGCATTGGGGTAAGCATGACTTCCCATGAGAACATGCTCAGSAAAGGATGAAGAGCTGAGCTGAGCTGGAGCATCACTGTATCCCAGACACTGGCTTGCCTTAATGTGCCCAATTCATACCAGTGAATGCCTGTGGGGCTCCCTTAGGGTTAATAAAATCTTCTCTAATATGGTGATGTGACATCATCAGCTGGTTCATACATCCTTTGTGATCAACTAGGAGGTTCTAGGAAGACTAAATCCCTCTCTTCTCGTCCAGAAATGTTAGGCCTTAGTAAACATGGGCATGACAGTAGGGCTGATTGTGAAGACCCTCTACCACAGATGGTCCTTTACTCTGAAGGGAGAAAAATAAAAACTTGGAAGTAGGCAGAATTTGAAGCACTAATTCTTCAYATTTTTCTGTGTTAGTTTTATCACTCAAGTAGTGTTCTTATCAAGCAGATCAAATAYAGCTAATCCTCAAAGAAAGAAGTAGCCAAGTGAATGTCCTCCCATGCGTGGACATGGACACAAGCTGGTTTCTTCCACCAGAGTGGGGACAGATTGGCTGTGTAAGGACTTCAGTAAGTGCAGGGACAGAAGTTGTCAGATCCCTTTCAAGAGTGGCATGCATCTGCAGCATCCCTTGCTGAAGCCAAGATATTAGAATGAGGTTGCTTTTTTCAGCCAACCCTATGTCAGGAAAAGAACCTCCCATGCTGAATTCTTTTTTTAATATCATAGACCAAACCCAAACATTTTATAGAGTGCTCTGAAAGATAATTGATCAAAAAGAGTGGARGAGTGGCCTGTGACAGGTTAGCTACCTTTGTCAGTCCCGCTCATACAGAGGTCTGCCATGAGACACTGACATTGATAGGATGTATTCTAACACTCAGCATAAGCAAAACAGGCAGAATCTTGGCTTCTAGGGTATAGTCATGGGTTATGGAAACTGTCTTTGCCTTCCTTGGGTACAGGATCTGTCAGTAACTCCAGTACTTCTGTTTTGTTTTGCTAGAATATCAGGAAGAAAAATGTTACTAAATACAAAGACAAACACATAGTATTTTCTCTGGATGTTTCTAAAAGTAGTTTTCTCTCTCACCAAACATTTCAAAGATCCCAATATATTAGTAATGATGTAGTAGAGATGTAGTAATGATGTAGTAGAGAGTAGATGTAACAAAGCTTATGGGGAGGTGCAATGGGTTTTATCACTTTTATCGGACAGATGAAAGAGCAGAGGAAAAAAACTGAGGAAGCTGTCAGGCAAACATGCTCCTTTTAAGGTGTGAGACTAGAGCTGCAATCATAAATCCTTTGTCTCTGGATGCTCCAGAGTCTAATTTCAAAATGCCTTTCCCTCTAAACTATTTGCTCCTCTATAGTTTCCATAATGAAAGGACCCTCCTGTGGAGACAGTTATCAATCTGTGATCACTGCAACCAGCATGAAACCCTTAATGCTATTTAGAGAATGAAAATGGATCCTAAAACCAAAAAAAACCATCAGCCTCTGCTGTCTAACCTTAAATTTATTTCTCTGGTTGTGCCT